TTTTTTTTTTTAATTTCCCTGCCATCCCTGCCCAGCACAGCTCAATCAGCCACGATGCCCCAAGCGTGTACAATCGCTGTGAGGATGGTGCAATCAGCTCACATCAGAGTGGAGAGTAAAACAAAGCCTGTTTGTAGGGCAGAGGATGAGCAATGCTCTGCCCTGTGGGCTATCACAGCAGAGCCGTGTAGTTTTAAGTGTTCCTAGCATATGATGGAATGTTTGGACAGAGCAAGTGTTCCTACCAATATATTTTTATATAAGAGAGAACAGTTTCCACGTCTGAGCTGGGGCCCTGGTACATCACTGGATGATTAAACAGCAGTGTCTCCTGGATGAAATGCTGCTACAGAGGTGACATGTTCGTTCCATGTTTCTGTAGGGTCTTGTTTCCCCACTGGAGCAGATTCCTGGCTGCTGCTCGCAGTTCTACTCCACAGCTGTGAAAGGAACCAAGCCATTCTTACCCTGTGCAGGGCTCATTGCATCAGTTTGTGTCAGTTTGATAATGCAGGGGATCCCAGCTGTCCCTGAGGAAGAGGGAGGCAGAAGGCAGTGTGTGTAGGGTGCTGCAGGGAGGGTTCATCCTGGGCTAACCTGCAATCTGACAGCTTCGGGTGCTGGGGAGCACCAGGGTGCTCATCTGGAATCTGTGCAATAGGCTTTGCCCTGATGGTGTCTTTATGAGGAGTGATATTCATGAGCATCCTCAGCATCAAAGAAACTCCCCCAGCCTGGGAGGGACTGCTCTGTTCTGTATTTGGATCTTGTTTAAGTGACCTGGATGGACGTGGCCCAGCACCTCTGGTGTGACAGAGATCTGTGACACGTAAATAAACTCCTCACTGCCTGGGTGTGGCGTGGGTCACGCCTGTCCTGCTGGAAGGAGGTTTTCCTCTGYACTGTGTAGGTAACTTTGTAGAGATCAGAGGGCATTAGAAACCCCAACTTTTAGGTGAAACACCACGGGGKGGTGTCTATTTACAGAATATGCAACCTGTGACTGCTGTAACTGAATGTAAGCACTCTTGAAATACTCTGCTTTGCTGACGTGGTTGTCTTAAAATACAGCAAACGAACCAAAATAACTAAAACTGGTCCAATGGCTTAACTGTCTTTGAACCTTTCTTAAATGTTTGCAGTGGGTGAGACTTAATGATGTTTCTTGCACTTGGAGCTGTAATGCAGAGGAATTATTTTCTCCTTCACTGATTTTCAATGTGTTAGAGAAAATATTTCTCTTTTTGATCCTTTTGTAGAATGTCTGGGAGCACAGTTCATTTCTCAAAGTCCTCCAAGCTAAGACCAAGGCTGGTACCATAAGGGAAGGCTATTTTGACAAAGTTCTAAGCAAAACAAAAAAGAAAAAAAGCTTAATTGTGAAGCTGCATTCATGTGCTCCTTGGGTCCATCTGCATTGTGGAAAAGGTTCTGGACAAACCATTCTCTTTTCTTCTGAAAACCCAGAGATACTGATGGTGTCGGTCATGTGAGACTTACAAATGTGAAAGTTTGTAGCTTTAACTTTTTTTGTAACAAAGAAATTAGCAACACTGGCATAAACTGCTGACTTGAAATGCTATTTTGTAAGATCTGGCTGTTTGTATATAATAGTGTTGGGTCTTTAGTTTGTATATGTATGAACCAGTAACTTTTGTTGCATTCCTCTCAGTTTGATACCGGAGATTTTGTTTGATCTTTCTCAAATATCTTGCCTTATTTGTTCAAAGGGGCAAATAAACTGTCCCTATCCAAAAGCATCGGTGTTGTGACTCATATTTTATGCATTAAAATCCTTTGGGGTGTTTTTGTTTATCAGGATGGGTTTTAACACGATGCACCTCTAATCAGCCAATGTTATGCAACATTCTGGAGGAGACCACAAGCTTTCAGGAACGCAGGCAGTGAACGTGTCAGACACACATTTGAAAACATTCCTGATTCTGCAGCTCGGGGTGAGATTGTGGATTTGAGGGGCAGGTCTGAGAGCTGCCAGCTCTGTGGGGTTCAGGGGGTGATGCTCAGGCAGCTCCAGCAGTGATGGGCACAGCCCTGCCTGGAGCTCCAGGGGTGTTTGTCCCATGGGTGCTTTGGTGGATGGGGGTGCTGCATTCTGCTGTAGGTCCTTGCTGATTCTGCAGCAGCTTCCCTGAGCCTGCAGGCAGGTTTGGGGCTCGCTACAAATCAATTTATCCACCTTCCTACACAACAGGTGAGGCTAGAGGCTCACTCCTAATTCTGGCTCGCTTGCTGCACTTTGAGCTTTCTAGCTCAGAAAAAGATGAAGCTGACAGTGAGTGGGTGCTGCCTTCCCATGGTGAACTGTTGGCTTCGATGTGGTTTCCCTGAGCAGTTACTAAATCTGTCCTGGAGGGATGACTAACTGGAGCAGAGACAGAATTCATTCAGGAGTCAGCTTTGCTTAGCAATTCCGGAAGAAACAAAATAGATCTGAGCTTTTAAATGTTGGGAAGGAGCATGGAAATCAAAGGGAGGGAGGCTGCCGGCTTTTCTAGTAACTGGGAAAGCCTGGAGCTCTCACATATTCTCAGCAACATTACCAGGAGATTGTGGAGCCCCAGAGCAAAGGGAGGGAGGTTTGTGCAGCCATACCTGGGGACTGTTTGTGTGCCCTCCCTCTGTGCTGGCAGCACTGCATCTGCTGCACACACTTCTGCATGTGACTGACAAAACCTACAGCAGGTACCCATGGGCTGGGACTGATGTTTAGCCATGTTCTTCTCCCCCATAAAGGAAAAAAATCAGCTTTCCACTAAGCCCATAGCACCAGCAGTTTTTAACAATTATTAGCACTAAGGTACTGTGCCAGTGTCCTTTTTTGCTCAGCTAACTCATTTCCTACACCTTCATTTTGTACCATTTCCTGCTGTCCACAGGCCAAAAGAGTGAGCTGAGTGAGCTTGGATAAATGCTTTGAGCGTTGTTGGCTGACAGCCCTGCCTCGAGAGTTGACAATTTTTCATTTCACTAATCACTCTGGCAAAATTTTGAAGCATCAAACCAGGAAATACCCATCATCTCTTTCCAGACTGAAAGTTAATTGCTCTTTAATTTAAGAGCCCAGGAAGATAGCCAATGTGTTTAAAAACTTTAGAACAATTCAATCCCATCTACAAAGGACTGTCCTGCTCCCCTCTAGGTCACTGCTGCTCAGATCAATGCAGTGCTGGAAKTGCAGAGAGCCCAGAGTCCCTGAGTCCCATCCTGAGCAGTCAAAGCAGCCTCTTCCAGACCAGGCACCAGACAACTGAGCTCTAGGGTGGATTTTCCTCAGTTCAAAAGACTCACAAGCTCTGGACCATCATTCCTTCAGCACAGAGAGGATGATCTTGAAAAAATCTGGGGCAGTTTTTCCCACTCTGCTCGAGGTCTGGATGTGAATGCATTGTGGGTGCTGTGCCTCCCTGCACGCCTGACCCGTGGTTTTTATTCCCTGAAATGCTGTGACCTGCCTAGGCATATTTGGTTAATTTAATTCCATGCCTTCAAGGCTGTTCATTTGGCTTTCTCAAATGGTTGGAATGAAGTCTTGATTTTATGTGTTTCCTACGACTAAGTTATACAGCTTGGGTTCAGATAAAGGCTAAAGTGACCCCATAAGTATATGCAGACCTTGGGTATGTCTCACTACGAGGCAAAAGAGGTTTAGCATTATTTTCTAAAAAAAAAAAAACAAAGAAGAAACAGAATTACTGCACTGTTTGACTTTACTGATCTACTTACATTGTTCAGCAAACAGAAGTAACACTGATTAAATGTGCCACGCAGTGTGCTCCAGCAATGAGATCTGATTTTTGCTGAGGTCRGCAGGGCTGTAGGAATCTGTGAAGAGGAGATCCCAAAAAAACTGCTAGTGAGGAGTCTTTCCTTCCTGCAGATGAAGCCCTTTAAAATCTGGTTTTCTGATTACCAGCTGAGTGCACAGACCATGCTCAGGGTAGTCATGGATCTGAAAGTTGGCAAGAGGAAGGAAGTTTTAAACAAAGGTAATGAAGTTTACTTTGTCTCTTTGAGCAGAGTTGTCTAATTCTCAGCTGCATTAAATAGCTTAATAAGGTCACTCCTTAATCACCATTCCCTGGAGGCAAGAGAGTCATGCTTTAGTCAATCATTTTCTGAATGTGGAAAGCAGCTTTGTAGGAATAACCTGATAAAGTGTGTAATTGATTTACCCACTGTATCAAATGAAAATGCAGCCGCTCAGGAAAACTGATTAGGGATTAGGCAAAAGAACATGAGTTTCCTACTTGCCTTAGAAATAGTAAGGCAGGCCCGTGCTGGCAGCCCAGTGCTGCACAGCCGTGTCTCGCTGGGGAGCGTGGGCTGTGCTCACCCACTCTGCTGCTGGGCACCTTCCTGCACACAGATCTGCCTGCACAGCAGTGGGAGGATTTTCCCAGTGCAGTTACTCAGAGCCATACAAATCCTAATGTCTTCACAGAGAGCAGGAGGCTAAAAAAAAGAAAGCACCTTGCGTGGCTTTCCTGAACCCGAGCTTGGAGCTCTCGTGTGCCAGCCCTCTCTGATGGGGCACAGGGGGTGAGGTCCTGCCTTGCTTATAGCCCCCAGGGATTTTTGCCTTGGATTGATCAGCAGCAAGTGGATTTTATTTTTTTTTTTAAATAGAAAAGCTCACAAATGAATAAATAAAATAAATTCAGCTCTGTTTTGACCCAACTCCAATCACCCCCAGCAGAGGAATGCACCTGACAGGAAAGCCCAGGTAAGGTGGATTGTCCAAACTGCTCCAGCCACGATGACACCATGGCACAAGGACTAGCTGTCTGCACAGCATCCAGAGCAGGGATGAGGTGGGAGCTCTGCTGTGCTCCAGGGTGGTTCTGGAGCTGCTGACAGGGTCCTGCAGYGCTGTAGGACCAGTTTGGCTGCTCCTGTTCACCCCAGCCTGGCCCTGGCTCAGCCAGGCAGCATAGACACGTCCAGCTGCCACGAAACACAAACCAGAGTCCACAGCAGATCACTGAGTTCTTTAATAAAATATACAGTATGCATCCCATGCATAGATAGAAAATTAATTTACATGCTCCTAATTATTTGCATAATGCTTTTTCATTAATAGATGTAATTTACTCTTCACATTTGAATACAWTTTGCTACCGGAATATTTATCTTGAGAAGGGGAAACTCCTTCCTTTATTCAAGTAACAGTGCAGCAGGAGCTGGCTGGAGCAGAGGGTGCTGCTCTCCAGTCCCAGCTCCCAGCAGGGATAAGCGCRGAGCGGACCATGAACCGTCAGTACTGGAAGACTTGATGATGCCAGAAGCGTGAGCACCCTCCCATCCCACACTGCTGTTCCTTGGTTACCCTCCCTGAGTCCCACTGGGATTCAGAAAGGCTGGACCTGCACTGGTGTTGGTTTGGCTCTTCTTGCCCGTGACCAGCAGATCGCTACAGGCAGAGCCAGCACCAGCAACTGCGGCTGTGCTGAACCCCAGCAGGAAAACCAACAGCCACCCCCACGATTTGAGTGCCTGGGGCCACCCTGCAGCCATCAGCATGTGTCTGAGGTGKTTTGGGGACTGCAGGATGCACGTTTCTCCTGCTTGGAACAGGCATTGCTGGGTGCACTYCTCTGTGTGCAATGGAGCTGCACAATTTCCAAACAGAGAATGGGGGGTGAGGGGCAAGGAAAAGCTCTGTGGGGAGTTAATGCTGTGCTGGGAGCAGCCCCAGAGTGCTCAGGTGGGCTGKGGGTGCAGGCAGCAAGGGGGTTGGTGTTCCAGGCTGACCTCCCTGCCCAGCTGTGAGGTGCTCAGAGGCTGTGGTGACACGGAGCAGTGCAAGGTCCCCTCTGTGCCAGGTCTCTCCCTGCAGAGGGAAGGTGAGTGCAGTGACACTCGTGGGGACACCTGGGCCAGTGTGACCCCCTCCTGACAGCTCTGCCTGGCCCTGGGACAGGGAGGGAAGAGGCAGGATTTAGCCAGGCTGGGGCTGTGTCGAGGGGGACCAGGACTGGCAGGGAGCCCCACTGGGATTGGCTCCTCAGTTTCCCCAGCGTGTTCCCCCCTGGCTGCTCCTGCCTCARAGGACAGTGTTCCTCCTGCCTGCTCATCCCTGGCTGCTGTCCCTCCCCCTGTGGATGGTGTTCCCAGCTGTGCCACACGCCCAGCACAGCCCCAGACCCAAACCTGGGGTCTCCAGCAGTGGCACCGCAGCAGAGTGGGTAAATCCTGCTGCAATGGAAAAAAGGGAAGGTCCAATCAATCCCACTGCAGGGGCTGGGGACCATGAGGCTCAGACTGAGCTGGACACTACCTCTCCTCCCATACAGAATCATTCCCAAGCCCTTTTCCTTTATGGCTGGGCGGGCAGTTGAGCCTTTTGAGGATGTTTCCAGCTGGGGTAGGACAAGGCTGGGGCTGGAGTTGTTGTCCACCTGGCACAGGACCTGTAAGGCTGCCAGCCTGGTTGAGGGCTGCTCCACCTTGGGCGATTTAACCTCACCCCACAAAACACAAAACCTCAGGGCAGAGGAAAATCCCTCTCCATAAAGCTGGGGTGGTGCCTGATCAGGGGTCACTTGTATTTCTTATTTTCTGCCTCCCGTTCTGGCAGGGGTACATCCAGCACCACAGCCTCCCTTCACAGCCACGGGTGARCAGGGTGAAGGCTGAGACACATCCAGGCAGACTCAGGGTCTGGAAGCAGCCAGCACCCACTGGGCATCTCCAGCCCCTCCTGTTCTGCACAGGGCAGGGGCGATGCTGCCGTGTCCCGGTGCCATGCTCCCCATGAGCAGGCAGGTCCCATGTGCCCCAGATGGGAGTCAGGGGCTGGGGTGGGCACCAGGGGTCAGCCCACGGCGGTCGGGGCTGCCCCTGTCCAGGGAGGTCTCGCTCAGAGCCTCCAAGTCTCGGTCGCGGCTGGAGATGCTCGCCACCTCCTCGGGCTCCTGCTTGCCGCTGTTCCTGACCGCCGCCTCCAGCGCCTTCTGCTTGCGGTAGAAGTGGGAGAACTTGTTGAAGATGATGGTGATGGGCAGTGCCACCACCAGGATGCCCCCCAGGATGCAGCCCGAGGCCGCCAGCTTGCCCGCCACGGTGACGGGCACCACGTCGCCGTAGCCCACGGTGGTCATGCTGACCGTGCCCCACCACCAGCACGCCGGGATGGTGTCGAAGCCCACGTCTTCCTCCTTCTCGGCAGTGTAGGCCACTCCGGAGAAGACAGAGACCCCCACGGCCAGGTAGAGCAGCAGGATCCCCACCTCCCKGTAGCTGTGCTGGAAGGCAAAGCAGAGCATGGTCATTGAGGCCACCACAGCCAGCACAACCAGGACACAGAGATCCCACAGTGCCATCTCATCCCTGCACACAGCTCCCTGCACACCCAGTGCCTCTGTCCATCTCTGCTGAGGGTGTCCTGCTCCAGGCATGGGGCAGGGAGCACATGAGTGACCCACATCTGAGCGAGGCTTAAAGGCAGGAATTGTTCCAGGCACCCACGGCTGCCTCTCTGCGCTGCAGCAGCCTGTGAGAACAGGAGGGAGGACAGATCTGCGTTCCCCAGCCAGGGATCCCCGGCAGAGGCTGCTCCCCTGCCCCCAGCCCTCACTCTGGCCTGATCTCAGCTAACAATATTTAGCACATTTTCCTTTTATCTTGGCAGGTCCCCAGAAACCACCTAATAGGCAGCCACTAAAAGAAGCAATTTGTACCTTCCTGAGTGGCTGGCACTGCTCGCAGGGAGGATGTGTCCTCCACTGCAGGTTCAGCTCAGCTCTTCCCCAGCTCCCTGGGGACTCCACAACCAGACCCCCAGGGTCCCTGCTGTACCCCAACACCTCTGAGCCCCAGCACCCACAAAACTCTTTGTTACACAAGTGTAGAAACTCCTGTTTCTGAGATAATTCCATTCCCTTCAGGTTTGGCTGCTCCTCTGTAAGACACTCCAAGTAAATGTCAAAGCTGCCATGAAACCAAACGTTCCTGGTCTTCAGGACAGTGCRGGGGTCCATCCAGTGTCAGCATGGGCTGGTCTTAGGACCCATCTGACAAGGTGCTGCAAGCCCCAGCTTGATGAGACACAGCCCAAGGGATCTGGGAACCTTGGTGTCAATAAAGCCATGGGACACCCAGCTCTGATGGCAGAGGGGTGCAATGCTCCTTGAAAAAGCCATTGTTTCTCTGGTCCCAAACTAAAACCTTTGTGCTGCAATCTTGCTTTTTATATTCTTAATATTTGGACAAAGCATAAACCTGTGCCAGAAGCCTGGGGGGAAAGGCAGTGGGCAGTTGGGGGACAAGTCTGACAGGGGACACACTGCCACCACCATCCTCCCAGCACTTTTTGACAGCCACAGGTGAATTTTTTGGATGTTTCTGCCCACCGACCTGCCAGCTTCCTCTTCAGCTTTTGGGGAAAGCAAAGCAGAGCTTTGATGGTGGGGATTTTTTCCCAGTCTCCTAACAAGCAGAGAATGCTTTATTGGAGACCACATAATGGCTAAAGGAAACAACATTTGAGCGAAGCAAACAGCAGCAGATGTGGGAAAAGGCCTCTGTGGTCAGAATGAGACTTAGAGGAGGTGGATTCATGGCAGGGAGTGAGGAGGCTTTGCTCAGACAGATGGCAAAAGCCAGCTAATGCCAGTAACACCAAATAACCTCCTCTTCCTCCCCTTCCTCCTCCTCCTCCYYCTCCTCCCTGACCTGTGGCTGCAAATGCCCTACAGCAGCGCCAAGGGAGCTCCTCAGGGAGGACAAACAGCTCAGAGCCCCTGAGTTTCAAGGATGTATCATTTGGCTGAGAAAGACCTGCTCCTGGCTGGAAGTTAACAGCAGGTCTGTAGGTCCCAGCTGGGGACCAGCAGCACCAAATAATCYCATGCATTTTTAAAGAGTATCGGTTCTGGCCCTGGGATGTGTTGGAGGGGGAAGGCAAAAGGGAAGTCAGGCAGCTCAATAGCTCCTGCTGCTTCAGTTTACAATCAGGGTCAGGTTTGCAGCACAGGGAAGGCTCCAGGAATCTCCCAGCTGATCCTCAGGCGCTGGCTGCCCCCTGTTTGCAGCCATTTATCTGCAAAAATATGCATTTCTCATTGGCAGAGGGGAAAGGGAGCTGCAGCTGGGGTTTGGGTGGGATGCAGTTTTAGCCRGGGTTTGGGTAKGATGSAGTTTTAGACAGRATTCAGGKGGRWTGCAGKYTTAGCCAGGGTTTGGGTGGGATACACTTTTAGCTGGGGTTTGGGTAGGATGGAGTTTTAGACAGGATTCAGGTGGGATGCAGTTTTAGCCAGGGTTTGGGTGGGTTGCAGTTTTAGCCAAGGTTCGGGTGGGATGAAGTTTTAACCAGGGTTTGGGTGGGATTCACTTTTAGCTGGGGTTTGGGTAGGATGGAGTTTTAGGCAGGATTCAGGTGGGATGCAGTTTTGGCTGGGGTTTGGGTGGGATGGAGTTTTAGCCAGAATTCGGGTAGGTTGCAGGCTTAGCCAGGATTCAGGTGGGATGCAGTTTTAGCCGGGGTTTGGGTGGGATGCAGTTTTAACCAGGGTTTGGGTAGGGTGCAGTTTTAGCCAGAATTCGGGTGGGCTGCAGGCTTAGCAAGCTGCCAGCCTCGGGGGAGGCAATGCTGGGTAATAAAAGACTCCAGCACAAAGCCCTCCAAGCAGCACTCTCTCCAAGCTCCTGCCAAATGCACATCTTCCCTCCAGTACAGCAGAAGATAACCAGGATGGAAGAGCCCAGTCTGAGTCTTGCCAGAAATTCCAGCACAGAGACGGAACAAAGATGGCCTGTGGTGGTGACAGCAGGGTGATGTGGGATGTGCAGCTCCTGCTCTCCCAACCTCTTGGCAAATTTAGGGCTCTGAGGGGACAGACAGCAACTCCTGTAAGTGCTGTAATTACCCAGGGACAAAAATCTATCGACTGCCAGAGGGAGAGGGGCTCCAAAGCCACTCCTGCAGAGTTGCAGTGGCTGCAATGAATGTCGGGCATGACAGGGAGGAAGAGCAGACACGAGTGGGAATCCTCTCCTCAAATGAAACACGCTGTGGATCAGGCCCCAAGCAATCTGAGGACTGTTCAGGGTTTATGATGCACAAATGGCACAATTCCCTCTGCTAGCACTTCTGTGGCAGGGGAACAATCACTCAGCTTGCCAGAGCCATCGCTCCTGCTTCCTGGCTGTTAACAGCCTTCGCTGCTCTGCTCCCGCTTTCTGCTCTCGCAATAGGAAGTAAATCATGATTAACAAGACGTCGTAATTTATGTGCTCACTAAATCACAGTGCCAAGCTGCTGCATCAGATTTGTGCCTTTGCCCRTCCCCATTTAGAGCTGGCTATGGAGTCCCCAGGAAGGGGCACCTCCCAGCACGTCACTGGGTGAATCAGCCGCTCGTCAGAAGCCAAAGCAGGGACACTGCGGGCTCCCCGGATCTCATCTGCTGCTTAGTAATACACACACGAGTCCATCAATGCCTGCCCTGCTGAAAGGTGTTGTTCACACTCAGCTGGGGCACTGGCAGGGCTTAGGTAGCCTTTTCCATGTGTAAATTCACTTAAATTTCACCTGGGTCTGCCACCTGTCAGTGCTCCTTCAAGGTGAGTGTTCAGAAGTCARCATGATGCCTGATGTCCTTCAGCCATCTTCATTTCAAACAGCCCTCCCCAGACCCTGTTTTCAGCAGGTTTTGAGGATGCCAGGAATATTTTGATGCTCTGTGGGCTGTGCAGGATTAGTTCTGGGCAGGGCTGATCCTGCTTCACAGCAGAAGCTGGCAGAAGACTTTTCTACTGCCCATCCTCAGCCCCCATTCACACTCAACAGTTGATTTTCTCCATGACTCAGGCAGGGGAATGGGGCCAACCCCAGCAGCCGATGCCAGCACACCCCATGCCAGCCCTGTCACTGCTGCAGCAGTGAAAACAGGGTGTCCCCAGCTACTCATCCCTGTGATGGCCCCTCAGAGGGAGCAGCACCAGGAGCTGCAGCTCCCTCCCATGCCAGGCACTGAGTGCCAGAAGAGTGTCCCTCTGGCTGAATTTCAGGCTCTGCTACAAAGATTGCTTCCTTGGCCTTTCATTTGATAGACCAGTTGCTGAMGGGGGGGAAAGCACAGGGATATTTGCACAAGCAGTGCTTGAAAAAGCAGTCTTGTGGTTTGAACGTGGGGCTCAGGGGCAGAGATGAGATGTTGGTCCTGTTGATCATCCCCCTGTGCCCAGCAGGAGCCCCACGTGTGCATCAGTCTGAGCCTGAGCAGGCTCAAGGATCAGCTTTAGGATTCCTATTGATGTGGTCACCAAGAGCGAGGGACAACTAATGGCTGAGTTTAATTGGCCTCTGCACCAGGCTGGATTTTTTAAGCACAGGAGATGAATTTCCCTATCCCCAGATTCAGGAACACAGCCCTCAGCATGAGGGGGATGGAGGGCAGACATGGGGGTGAGCCAAACCACACCGGGTGTGGAGGCTGGTCCTGCTTCACCAGTGATGTGCAGTGATGGAGATCTGGCTGCAGCACTGGGATAGGGAGAATTCCATGACAGATTTCAAACTGCCCTGGGTCTGTCTGGAGARGCCAGGGGTGCTGTGGATGGGGGTCTGGAGAAACACAACCTTGGGGCACATTATGGGGGATGTGCACCCTCTCACCAAACCCACAGGGATGCTGCTTCGAGCACGCCTGCTCCTCACTCCCTCAGCATTTCCTCCTCCAGACCTCATGAGCATCACGTGGTCCTGGGACCAGCTTCCTCCAGCCCTGAATGCCAACTTTTCCATCACACTGAGGGGCAGCTGCTGGTAACCCAGGCTCTGCTGTGGGCACAGACCCTGCCTGGGGCAGGCTGACACCCTTTGCCTTTCTATTGCTGCTTTGTGCCAGACCCAGCCTCACTGTATTTTGAAGCATTCAAATATCAACAAGGATTTCTAAGTTTCCCTAGATGGGCAGACACCAGGGGCTGGACACTGGGCTCTGGACAGCTGGCAGCTGCCCTTAGGAGGTTTCCCCTTTTCCCAGACTGGGGACAGGAGCAGCCCTGAGCCATACACAYGGGATWTGGCAGAGCCAGCAGCTGCTGCCTGCTCAGCAGGTCACTCTCAGCCCAGCTAGGCACTGACTCCYTTCTGGTGGGACATCCCCATCCACCCATGCATAGCTGAGTCCATTCCAGCGCTGTGCAATGAGGCTTTCATCCCACAGTGGGATGGCTGAGAGCCTGCAAGCACCAGTGCTGCACGAAGCACAATGTGCTGTGTGTGTGTACAGAGGACTSAGGCAGTCAGTGCTGCTCACACCCGTTTGCTTTAGCTCACACACCAAAGCCCAACCCCACCACCCTCTGGCTCTCCAGGCACCACCCAGAGCCGGGAGCTCACTGCAAACAGGTGCTTCCACATCCCCCAGCCATGCCAGAGGTCTCCTTCTTGCCCAGAGGCTAAAGGAGTCTTAGATAAGCAGATAGAGAGCCAGTTTACCTTCAAGGTGGCCCCCAGCGACCTCAGTCCCGTGGAGTGCCGAGCCAGCTTCAGCACCCGGAATATCCTCATGAGCCGGAACACCTGCACCACCTTGCCCAGGTTGCCCAGCTCCGAGTCACTGCCCACGGTCACGTCCACCAGGAGGGTGAAGTAGAAGGGCAGCACCGAGACAATGTCAATCAGGTTCAGAGGGTGCTTGAAGAACTTCCTGGGGTTGGGCGAGAGCAGGAGGCGGGAAGACACTTCGAAGGTGAACCAGGAGATGCAGAAATACTCCAGCTTGTGCAGGATGGGCTCGTCGAGCACGTTGCCGTTCTCATCCACCTCCTGGTACTCRGGCATGCTGTGGATGCACATGGTGGCTATGGACACCAGCACCACGCTGATGGACACGAAGCTGAAGAGTTTGCTGGGGATGGAGTAGCCGGGGTTCTCCATGGTGAGCCAGAGCCGCTTGCGCACGTTGCCGCAGCGCAGGGTGCTGTAGCGCAGCAGGTCGTGGTTGATGTCAGAGATCTCATCAGGGGATGTATCCACACTGCTCACCTCGCTCTCCTCATCCCAGTTGTGGTGCCGGCTCTCCARCTTGCGCTCGTGGTAGCGGTAGCTGCAGCAGGAGTCCAGGAAGAACTCGTTGATGCCCCAGTACTCGATCTCCTGGCAGAAGGAGAAGACGCACAGCTCCTCCATGACGTGCAGCTTCCCCGTCTGGTAGAAGTGGAGGACATAGAGGAAGAAGCCAGGGTTTCTGTCGAAGTAGAACTCCCTGGCGCTCACGTCGTAGTCATCGCAGAGCTGCAGGATGGACTCCTCCGAGTCGCAGGAGAGCAGCCGTCCCAGGCGCGTGTCGGGGAACTTGGAGAGGGCGCTGGAGCTGAGCCTCCTCCTCAGACCGCCCACGTTGATGTTGATAACGTCCTCCTCAAAACTGGGACCCCAGTAGTTTAAGGTCTTGTTGACCATGATCAGCAGAGCAGGAGCGGGTTCCACCTGTGGGTGAGACAGCGGGGCTGGAGGGGCACAGSGCTCCCCCAGGTCTGGGTGCTCCCRGCTGAGGGGGGACCAGAAGCACCCTGGAGAGTGAGGAGGGATGTTTGCATTTTGCAAAGTGAGGACCAAGGAGAGAGAAGGGGAGAGAAACARCTTTAGACAGTTGCTCTTCTGCGGTATGGAACATAAAAAATAAATCAAATTATTTTTCCGGGTGAAACATTTCCTTGCTTTTCTTACCCCTCAAAGTTTCTCCCTTYGCAGGTTGTTAATGGCCTAAGGAAGGCAGTTTAATGCACCCCCAGCACTTCACCCATGGGGCTCTCCTTCTTCAAATGAGTAATTAGTYACTGAAGTGAGGATTTATTCCCCAAGGAGTCTCCCAGAGGAAAAATTAGATCTTACCAAATCACCACTGCTGTGATTCTGCCAAAGTGCTTTGTAGCCACACTACCTATGCTGCTAATTAGACCTGGTCAAAAAGTCCTTAGATGTTACAATCTTTACAACAGCACAGACAGTTTTGCCCAAATCAAAGCACTGTCAAAGAAGGTGTGAGTTTTAGGGAGAATTTGAGAGGAAGAAGTGTCAAAACAATTCGTCTGCCTGTTTTGTTTCCTCTTGTGTGTTCTGCCATGTAARATATTAAGATTATCTTTATAATGTTGAAACATAACAAAAACAATGATTCAGAATTATTGTTGACTGAATCAAATCTGTGTGTCAGTGAGGAAATAAAAACCTAGAGTTTTCATTTCTATTGTGTTTTACGTATTTTT